TTGGCGCCCTGTGCGAGATATCAATCCAGCGCCCCCCTCCCCTTATATCTCTCCAGCTTCCCCAGCACCACCAACACATGACGCTTTAATTACTCTGTTTAATTTAATAAAATTCAGGATAAGTAGCAATTTTTTTTTAAGTTTTGTTCTTATTTTGTAATAACTCAGCAGGCAATCGGCGCCCTGTGTGGGGGCACCGCTCGCACACCCCTTGTTACGGCACTGTCCGCAGTCGATGACTATGCATTGCCTCTGCAGTTGTTGCTGCTGCAGTCGAGGTCGAGATAATCTCGACTATCGGACATGCTTTACGTTGTGAAATTCCATCCTCATAATGCCCTACAATAATGAATAGGAGTCGACACGAGATTAGGGTACCTAGGTCCAAGGAACACTGCCTAGGCCTGACTGCTTTTAGAGTTTGCACATCAAACGTTTTCTTGAGATACATAGAACCGTAAAGACAGCTGATCGTGACTAATCGGTGCTTGCTACGGGAAATCGGGATGCTGAAATCCTCCTGATGATCGCTGTCAAAGACCGAGGCTTACACAGTGCACGAAATGGGGCAGGATGTGGGGGAATGGCATCGCGGTGAGACCGAGTTTTCACTTCCATCTCTCCAAAATTGAAACTGTAAAGCTTATCACGAAAGACCACCAAACTCCAACTCTTACACCCGCTCATAATCGCCGACTGATGTTACTTCCCATTCCCCTCTCTCCCCGCAATAGCCCCCGTGCGCAGTACCAACGATGCCTAGCTTTCTTCGTCCCAGTTGGTGATGGTGAGACACGAGGGGTGTCTTTGCAGGTCAAGAAGGAGACCTCCTTTGCTTTGATTAGTCTTCACCTAAATATTTTAAAACTTGAATTAAATTCAGCCTCCTTCTACGATTCATAGTAGATGAAGAACTTCTCGTCTTCCTTCTGACTTTTTCCTGAGACGGAAGATTTTACAAAGAAGGTTCCAAGAAGCTTTCACAGAAAGGGTATTGATGAGACAAAATATAAAAACAATATTTTACTGTAGCCTTGATGAGAACTTGAAGTGAATGCGAGGCAACACGCATTACAGCCGCAGAAAAGGTTCCATGAATTCCGTGCATATCCATTTGCTTTTAACTCCCACTTTGAGGGGGAAGCTTTCATAGAACGACACATTCCAGACGGAGCAGCGTACAGTACGTAAGGCCAACGATGGCGTCATATAATAGGGAGTTTTGGTATCCCGTTTTTGAAGAGGACGGCAACGTGAACGTATTATTAGGCGTTTAAGTTACTGATTTTCGAATAGCAGTTTGGCTATGCGTTTTAGATCTGGAACGAGCAACCTCCTCAAATCTCAACGCAGATGATGGGCCAAACGACAACCGATCTGAGGGCACCCTCGGCTCGGTAAACTAGCAAACTTGCAAATCCATAGATTTCCAATTTTGATGTATTTTCCACCAAATTTTATCACTTTACTTGCATGAGGAATTTCAGGGCTTTCAGCTTAACTTAGACAACAGAGAGGAGACACTCAATTGTTCGTCGTATCTATTGGAGATATACGGAGTACGCGCCATCAATCGCAGACTAGTATGAGTTGTCTAGAAATTCTTGAAGCTCATCTTCGAATCTTGAAAAGAGCCGAAATTCCTGTTTTTCAGTGAAAAAGTCCACGGTATCTCGTTCCTTGGGGTAACAGGAAGGCCTTTGACGGAGTGATTTGATGAGAATTTGATTATATATGGGGTCAGTTTCAGCAAAAAACAGTGAATCATCTGCCGTTCTAATGAGGACTGACTGAAACGAATCACAGGACGTTGTACCGAAGCTCACACGACTATCAAGTCGTTCCTGATTGGTGCATCTTTCATCATGTTCATCGATCATGTTCCTGGGAGAATGGCTGTCTGATGATTCTGTCTTCAGAATCATCAGATCTGCACCATTCCGGTCCTTCTCAAGATTCTCATTGATCTTTGGAAAATCCCTTCAATTTCGACTTGTTACCTGCTCCCCGATGGTTTCAAGCCTCCCATCCACTTCTCGCTTGGTTTCCGATCTTCCTTTTGATTTCTGTCTTTCGAGATCCCTTCATGCACCTGTCCACACGTCCACTGCTTAGTTTAAAATTGCAGGGATGCTCGCTAAACTTTCCAGTACTCGATTTTCAGACCCCAGAGGTATGGAATTCTGTAATCATCTTTGATGAAAATCTGATCGTACCGGCAGATTGGGATCAGGCCACGGTACAGGGTATGCACTTACCAAAACCTTTTAAAATGAAGCCCGCACGGGATGAATGGGGCAAAGGAGTCTGATGAAGTGCTGAGCCAAAATGTTGAGTGGATGGTGCACAGCAGTACTTCATCCACTCAACATTTCGGTATATCAGAATTTTTCCACGTGGGCGCTTATGGACATTCGACAGGGCAACGTCAAGGATTTCAGTATAACCGGTTGTTCGTTACATCTGTGTTCGTTATACGAGTGTCGACTGTAATTTCAACGCTTTCTGCAATGGAAGCGAAAGCATGCTTGCTTCAGCGTGATTTCTCTCTCAAACATTCTGGCTTCCTCGCGCATAGCCCGCAACCGTAGACTCAGAGGGACAGGTTTGACTTAAAAGCCAGCGCCATTTCTTCGGTTCCACTCGGGTGTAACATTCAAGACAGCGTTCCTTCAAGAAGTACTCACGGGCATCGCCAAATTCCTCTGCTCCACCGAAAGATCATGTTAGCGCTTTGGCATTGTCGTCAGTGCTGATTTCTGCCTCATGAACCCGTATATGAAACGAATCGCACGCACATGACAGAAATTTAATCTACGTCTCGTTTCCATTTCAATGCAGTTCACTGAGTGTTTAAGCCTATTGTTGACTCTGGCGTAGCCAGGTTTTCGTCAATGGGGGGCTAAGCGGAAAGCTGGGGGGGCTAATTGGGGGCTAAGCGGAACGTTGGGGGGGCTAACTTCGCCTTGTCAGGTTGGGGCGGACGCATTTCGACCAGAGTTGGGGGGGGCTTGAACCAAACTTGGGGGCTGAAGCCCCCCCCCTCGCTACGCCACTGTTGTTGAGTCGAGCACTTCTTCCAGCCTGATCCCAAACAGCCGGGAAGATAGATAAGGTGCTCCGATTTCACTTTCACAAAACCCGGTATGTAATTATGAAGTTAACGAATTCCAAAGAACTTAGAGGTTTAATTAAACTTTTCTTTTCCCCCCTGTGAGATGAACTGCATGCGTTGAAATGCTGTCTATATTATTTTGGGCATTTCCTTCAGTACCAATAAAATGCTGTGATCCTTGCCAAGTTCTTTTCATGGCAATTTCAAATCATTGGGTCAACTCAATACCTAGCAATGTCAGCAATGAATGAGTTTCATTCGCAGGTGTTCTGAAAATGCATCGAGAGCAACTCATATTCTCCAGTTCTGTGATTTGGCTTTTTTCATGATACCTCTAGAACAGGGATGTTCAACCCGTGGCCCGTGGACCTCCTTGCGGCCGGGGAATGGATAATGGGATAGTAAATAAAATAAGCTTCTTTGCGGCCTAAGGCCCATCACAACTTTGGTCATCCCTTAGTAACTAAACTAGAGATAGACTGAGTCCTTTCACTGCCTTCCCTTAATTATTCCTCACCCGGGGGGGGGGCTACATATGTCTCGAGGAAGAAGGTTCTCAATTCCAAAGGCTAATTTTGGGCTTTAGAATTTCCTAGGGGTGGTACAGGGGTAAGGATCATCGGCCAATCAGAGCGACCTTATGCCCTCATATGCCTTGAGGGCAAAAGAGGGGAGCCTTTTCTTTTGCATTCTATGGTCCGCGTGATGAGTCAGGCATTTCCATGCGGCCCACTGCCGGTAAAGGTTGCACACCCCTGCGCTAGAAGGTTGTTGTTTTCATGACTTTGTCCATGCTCACACAACACAAACACGTTCCCAGAATGTCTCCAAGTGGATGATTCGTCCCAAAGTGAATAAATAACTCTGAGTTTTTAAATATTTTAACTGGACCTTGCTTAGAGAAAGACAGTCTTCCTCGACATATCTCCTCCAGACATTTTCATGACCTGCAGATGTCCTTGGTAGTCATCTACAGGACTTTTTACTTGCCTCCAGCCTTTAGTTAGTTGCGCCATTTCAACAAATCTGAAAAGAAAAAGATTGCATAAAACTGACTTCAGCGTAATAAAGCTCTAAACCCCCTTTAGAGGTGCTAATGGAAGCTTCATTACGCTAAAGTCAATTTCAATCATCAATTTCAATTTCATGCAATCTACCGAAGGAGTTAAAACTTATCGATCTGCACTTTTTAATAAACTTTGTCTCAGAAGTATCGGAAGAAAAATAAAAAATTATTTGGACGTGAAATGATCGAAGCTTTTGTGCGCCAAGCTGCAATGTAATGCCGACCCATCGTAGGAAATCCCCTCGGAGCCCATCTCTTCTCCGAGAACGAGATCTCCAGGTTTGACTCGAGGGACACGTGGCATCCCAAAGGGAGTAGGAAGGGGGAGACGACCTGGAGGATTTTTTTCCTTCGCGTTCCGACCTCCGCAGGCAACGGCAAGCCCATCTAGCAAGCGGAGTCAAGTGATCGAGGGAGCCTCCTAGCGGGGTCGAGAGGCATGTCGATGTTGCTTCCAAGGGGAATGAGGAGAACCTTACTGTTCTCTGCAACTTCTTTGTGGTAGGGATCGTTTTCTTGGAGTTTTCTTCAGTGGCACAATTGTAATTGCCGAAAATCATCATGAATACACTTTCGAAGGCCAACGCCCATGATGATATTTACGGTACTACATGTTAGAAGACCTGTACTCCATAGTTGACCTGGTTACCTACTGTCGTACCTTCTATATTAATCTGCTCCGGCGATGGGTTGCGTTAAAGGGCGTCATCCATTGTATCTCATACTGAATATAGTCCGTCCAGTCCCAGAAAGGACCAGGTGGCATGGACCCTTAATGATGTGCCTGTCATCGCCTGTCAAAGCCTGTCATAGCCAAGCATGGGACCGAACAGCGCCATCAAAAGGACCACAAAGACGGAATTTGATGCGAACTCCTCGACGCTCGAGGTAAAACGAGAAGTTGCATGCTGAGTGACCTCTTTGGGAAGATCTATCCTCTCTTCCTGAACCTGCCCTCAGGCTGTGGGTTTGAATTAAATTTAAAGGAGTAAAAAGGGGAGGGGTTGAGGGTCCAATTATGACGAGCGAGCTTTTGAAGCTTCTTGTGAATTAAAAGCGTCCATCCTGGACTTGGACGAGCTGTAAGTCTATCTATTCATGGAAAGTAAATTTCAAGATTCTCCACTGCCCTCGATGCAACACCTACAAGCCTTCATTTATTTTATTGCTTTAATTTATTTTATTAATTTAAATTTATGTTCATGGCTCTTTTTAGTAACAAGGACTAATTTTTTCGCATTGCATCGCTTCCTGTGTTCACATCTTAATTGAAGTCTGCAGAGAGAAGATAAAATCGTTTATCCCTGTATCGACGTCAACGCTCACACCGTTCAGACAGGTCAAAAACCGATTTCGAGCACCTTTGGCTCCTCGGATCGTGCTCAACGTTTCTGTAGAAGTGTGAGTCATTCATCGTATCCAGTAATTATACTCAATAAAACCTTTAAGCGATATTTTAGATCTTGTCGTCCTTAAACGTTTACATGGCTCCATGGTCCGCTCCATTCAGAGAGCTTCATCTACAATTTAATTCCATTTAAAGACGCAATTTTTGTCAAGACTATCTGCAGAGCTGGTTTCCATTTAATCTTTAGCGACACCTATATCGTCGATATGAAACTTCAGTTGTTGAGGGTTACAACAGAGTAGGCTTGCAAATGACAGTAATATGGCGTTGCCCTGCTCATCAATTGCCCATCTGTCTCTTTCTAGGCCTGCCGATGTCTTACCGAGGACCCGCTTCTGTTCGGTTGACAGTGATATCGGCGTAGGGTGCCTTGTTCGAATCAGACCCTAGTTTTCTCTAGCGAAAACGTCGTTTCCTTCTGTGATGGTAGATTAGTCTTAAGTTTAGTTATCCTTCAGTTGGTTTCGACAGTTTCACCGGTTCCAAAATTCAAGGTAGGGTGAACTTGTAATCGCAACATTCATTCACATAATCGATTGCGCAGCCAAATGAAGACCTGTTCATTGAAATAGCATATCTAGCCAAAGAACCATATTAGTAAACATATGCTTTCTATTATCACCTAAGAATACGAAGAGTTCGGACCGGAAAAAGACTCGCAACCTCCATATATAATGACGGACATATATTAGAGAGTTGTGCTAAGTCAACATGGGAATGACAGCATACCAAATATTATACTATGACCAGAATATGTCATTTTCAGCACATGAGAAATTCTCCTTGTAAATTTCAGTTAGTTACCCATTACATAAAGATCTATTTATTTCCAATTTTCAGGATTAAAAAAAAATACCATTCTTGAGTCATTGCAAAAATAAATGTCAAACTATCATGGAACACCCTGTACTATAGGCACATCATCTATGGTTGTAGTGTGATGTTCCTATGGGTAACTCCATAGTTTCTCAACTGGCATGAAATCATGGGGTTTGGTTAGGATTAATTCAACATTAATTTTTTAATGGGATTTAGGCTACAATGGAAGGATGCATGAGGTAAGCAGTTAGAAAATATGTCAAACTAAATTGAATCTACTTTGTTGCAGTGCTGTCAACCTAAGCTTGCAATGGCTACTGTTCTAAGAAGTGGATCCTCTTCTGGAAAGAAGCAGTACAAGCAGAAGGTTGTACAGTTGTATGAATCCCTTTTCCACGTGAGTATTGTTTTAATCAAATTTGACCTATCTTTAACTTCATTTGTTATAACTTAAGCTGAACGTAGGTGGTTTTGCTACTGTTTAGAGCAGTGGTTCTCAACTGGTGAACTCTAACGAGTATTTGTTCATTAAAAAATAAAAACAGTTAAATAAACATAAATGACCTAGGTATTTTTTGGTCTGTAGTAGGCTACAGAACACCTTGCAGTTGGTAATGTGGGCCATGGGATTGAAAAGGTTGAGAAATACTCTTCTACTGTAGAGCGTTAACACGTGCTAAAGTTTTCTTTAAATTTAAGCTTAGCAATTTATGTGAGTTCAGATGGTCAACATTTGTATTTGGCTATGCATGAATGTCAAGAGTCAACTGGAAATGTATATACCTCAACTGTGTGACCAGTCCAGTTATTTGGGGTGATATTTATAGCAGAATATCTGGAAAAGAATTGGTACACTAAAATGGGTTGACACCATGGAATCATACATATGTATTACTGAATGTCAACCTAGTTGGAAGTAAGGAAAAAGTAAGCTTAGTGTTGTAATGAAAGCATGATTATTTAGCTTGTCTTATTAGTTTATCTTATATTTCTAAGTATTGGTGACTCATTCAGGAAAATTAGTGAACTTCGCAGTCCTTTTACTTTTCCTTTAGGCTTATCCACTGGAATGAATTTCATGAATGCTTTGAGTTAAGTTGTTCTCTGTATTTTTTCTTTCCTGCTTCAACTTAAGCAGCTAAATTTCATGAATTTATGCATAGTTTCATTCCAGCTAAGTTGCAATGTAGGCTGAAATTAAATTGATTACGAGGTTTATACTTCATTTCATGTGGATGACATCCTTATTCCAATAATAATGTAAAGTCTTTTCTTTCATTTTTCATCTCTTGCTTAAAATAGCTAAGTATATATATATATATTTTTATTTCATCAGGTTTTCCCCCCCTCCAATTGAAAGGTACTTCAATATTTAAACAATTCAACATTATGGACTCAAAATATAATAAAGTAACTTTTCACTGAATGTCATGGAACCAAACTGGTTCCTTATTAAATGGCATGGCATGAATGGCATATATTCCTGACAATAGGCTCCAATCAATTATGTCTTCTGATTTATGAATTTCCTTCTTTCCATGAAAGGGAGAAGATCCATCTGTTGGGAATGCCAACTTTTGGGATGAGTTCTTCCTTCTCAAACCAAAGGTTAGATGTGAAAACCAGAGAGACTAGATTTTGAAGTGATTTCTCTGTGTTGTGTAGCATATTTGTGCATTGAATAACAAAATATTATTTTCTTCCCAGTTGAATAATATTGAATTGGAGATGTCCAAACTCAGCGTGGAGCAGCTGATGGCTCTGCAACCCAGATTGAATCTCCTCCTATGCAGGTGCCATGACACCATGTCTGATGATAAATCAATACGTGCTGTAAATGCAGCTCAGGTGAGGTCCTTCAAAATTTTCTGTTACTTTAGCCAGTAATAAATTGATTTTTCACGAAATTTCAGAGAACACTTTAATCTAGATCTTCCTATATTCTCATGAGACTGAATCTACTTGGGTCAAAAAGTTATTTTGTCACCTATAATCGCCCACAATTTCAAAACTCTTTCTAAGTCTGCTATTTTTTACCTCTCTTTGCAGCCACCAACAACAATTCATCCCATCCCCTCTTGAAAAAAAAAAAAATGCAGAGGTATTATATATATCATATGGGTTTTTGTGCCTGTGTATATGTCTGTGTTGGGTTTTCTCCTTTACTATTAATAATAGCTGATGTTTGGTTTGGGTATTGGGCATCACTTTGGGACTTGTATCTCACCTTTTAAATCACCAGATCTGAAGTCATCTTCAGTGTATATACAATCATACTTTATCAGTGTCACTGATTCTATGACATCTATGAAAGACACTTGCTGCATGGTGCTCTGTTATACAAAGTTATACCTGTCCTTTCAGCTGTGAGTGGTCCATTTGTTTGACCTTAGCCACTCTTTAACCCTTCAAGTGCTGAGTTTTGACTCAACCTCCTAAGTGATGCATGTACCACGTATGTGAAAACAGCTGGAAGGATTAAAATATCCTATGTGGCAGCTTTTTCAATCTCTTTTCTTGGTTGCACTCATTTGTTAATGACCATCCAGGGTGAAGTATCAAGTACAATATAAAGGCACATTGTATTAGTTGCATATCCATCTCTCAAGATAATGTGCCAAACATTACCTAGATATGTTAAATATTGAAAATGCTAAAAATGGAAGTTCTTCAGGTTGTCTTTGAGCAGATTCTGATTTTTCACCTGAAAGAGCTTGCTTTGAAAATCCTTATTCCTGATAATGAAATGAAGTATAAAAAAAACTACAAATAAATTGAATTCTTTTGAGGGAACATATTACTTGCAAATTAATAATTATACATAATGTGCAACTTTGATGGGTGTAAGGAAGTGGAAATATATTCTGGACTTTTGAGCTCAGCTATCCTCATGATATTCTGTTTAGGTAAACAGTGCAAGTTTCTTATTAAAGCAGTCCCAGGATAATTCAGTGGCAAACCCTTTTTTAAGATGGTAGGGATTTGAGGGATTTTTTCACCTATGTGCACACCCTTAGATGCCACTGTGGATAATGCATGAATTTGATGCTAAGAAGCATCTGCTTCATTTGTACCTGCTTCGCAACAACAATGTATACTGTCAAAAGATTTTAATTTGAAGTTCTGTCTCAGTTCAAATCATAACTTGTAGATTAATTCTTGGTCCAGCAGAGCCTATTCACACATATGTATTGGAAATGTTAAATACCAAATGAAAAGGTGACTCTTTGGATATTGGTGGGTAGTGTGGATAGTCTCAACCCATTCATATTGTCTTTCTTTCACTGCATCAAACCCCTACATAAACCTCATGTACTTCATACTGAGTAAAACCTGCTAAACAGATTTTAAGAATGGTAGATCTACAGTATGTCCAGCCCCAGAAAGGACCAGTTGGCATGGACCCGTAATGGGGTGCCATTTCTTATAACTTGTCAAAGCCCAGCAGGAGACTGAACAGAGCCATACAAAGGGCCACAGAGGTGGACTTGGAAGCTTAGTGTTGTGTGTGTTGGGGGGGGGGAGGTTGCATGCTGAATGATCTGTGTCTTGGGTCGGGTGGCCAGCCCCCCTCCCCACTTGGAGCAGGATGCCATTGAACCCACCCTGGCTGTGGGCACGAATGACATTTGGAGGAGGGGGGGGGGAGGGAAGGAGTTGAGGGCTTGATTTTGACGAAGGAGCTACTTGGACTCCTTTGTGGATAAAAAGTGGTCCTTTCTGGGCCTGGACAAACTGTATAAGGGAAGAAATCAGTTGAGGTATGAAAGTTAGCTTGGGCCTTTTGAAGCTGGTAAGTTTTTTTATTATTGGATTATAAATTGTAGTGGAGCTGTCAAATTTTGTGCTAACTGGAGAAACCCTGATGCTTTCTTCTCTCCTGACAGACATTTTGTGGAATCCTGAAAGGCATCTATGCAAAGACTCCATTGAGTGAACAGGTGCTACACTTTGTCTTTGGCTTGGAGACATCTGATGCCAAATTTCAATCCATGATTGAACAGATCAACATCCATCTCAATGGTAATTCTGTCTTATGAATTTCTGGTCTCAAGGGTGGGAGGTCACCCCTTTGCTCTCTCCCTTATTCAGTATGAATGATTGAATGCCTCAATCTGGAACTTACTTTATTAGGTGAGTTCCCTCAGACCCTCAAGTCAGTGTGCTTGAAGCTGCTTTTGGTGATGGCCACAGGTACTGACAATGTGAGCAGCAACAAACTTCTGGAATATCTTATGGTTCACAGCATCCATGAGACTCTCATCAATGTGAGTAATACTCTGTAATAGCTGAAAAATCAATAGTACAGTGTTTCAACATTGAATTGCCATTTAACCCTTTCCACTCTATCTTTCCACAATGCTACAACCAGCAACAAACCCAATTTCATGAAGGAGTGGAAGGGATTAAGGGAAATAATTTGCATTGCGGAAATTATAACCATGGTGTTCACAAATTGGTTTTATCCTGAATTAACTAATATGTGAAACTTAAGATGTTCTTTGCATGTGCATGTCACTGTTGGCTGTGCCATGTACTAACAAATAAATTCATGTTTCATTAGAACTTAAGGAATAGTTGATTGAATTATATTTGTGTTCAAGATAGAATCAAAAAGTTCTCAAACATTTTCCTATAACATTAGTTCCTCATCAAACAGCCAATTTTCTAGTTTAGATGGTGTGCCTTGGCAGTTGCAGTAATTTGTGAGTGTTTGGGTGTGAATGTCATTTATTGAATATTTTAATTTTTAATTAATTTTTTTTTTTTTTACCAATGGTCAGTTTGAGACATTGATGGAAGATTCAAATGAAAGTAGCATGCAGTAATTGAGTTTTTGATGAAGGAAAGGGAAAAGATCTAAGAAAAAGTTTTTGACTGGTTTTGAATGTTTTGTTTTTCCCAATTCTTTATCTGTTGTGTAATTTTTTTTGTGTGTGTTTGACTTCACATAGTTCATGTTCTTGCATACTATTGATGTTCCACCTCTGATGAATTATATGGCCTTCCTCATCTTGCCTTGCAGATCTTGTCCAATGTCTCCCTAAGGAAGCTTTTTGGACATGAAGCTGTAATGCTGCTCACACTTCTTGTCAATTACCGGAAATTTGAAAGCATCAATCCATATATGGTGAAATTGTCCATATTGGATGATGAACTTGCTCTTCATGGCTTTGGACAGGTACTTTCCCAAAGGCAAGTACTTTCCACTGAAAGTGAACTGCCTTTTTCAAGTTGCATGCCATTCTTATTGCAGGTAGTTGGTGTGTCTCTTGCTGAATTCAACAATAGATTCGCTGCAGAGATCCAAGAGGCTCATAGTAGAGGAATCATTTCTGCACTGACATCTGCAGTTGGCAGCTTCTTCTCCCCAGAAGAAGTTGACTCAAAGTCTGCCTCTATAAGGTGAGTTATCATCATACTTGACTCCCCTTAATTACAATATATATTTGTATGAAACGTTTTATTCTGCCTCCAGAGCAAATATTGGTATGCTGCTGGCCCTTTATGAAGCAGCACATTTGAACAGAAACTTTGTTGCAACAATCACTCAAGCACAAGCAGATTTGGTCAATAAGAAGTCAGCAGAAGACAGCATGACAGAAGAAACAAAAGACACTGAGGATCAAATAATGTCAGATCTTTCATCAGGATCCTCTAACCTTCTTGTAACTTTCCTGGAATATTGGTGAGTTGTTTCATGCAGACACTTGGATTTGATTATTTCAGTTCTAATTGTAATTGACATTGCTCTTGGTTTTTATGAGCTCCATATGATTGCTCTTATTTTATATAGTTCTATCTTGATGCAAGAGACCAAATCAGAGGCAAGTTGCAATACTGTCAAGCTGTGTTTCATCATCCTGTCATGCATTTGTGAGGACCAATATGCAAATTCCTTGATGCATGATGCAAACTTTGTGTTTAGTGTCACATTACACCGTATGCCAATGAGGCACAGAAAGGTGCCCCCACAGAAGCTCTCTACCTCACCAAGGCCCCTTGCTTGTGCATTCCTGGATCTCATGGTGGAATTTCTAGTGAGCCATATGATGAAGAAGCTCCCATTGGAGCTTCATCATCTGTGTTTGGGCATCATTCATAGGTTACTCGCTTATCAAAAGAGGAGCCGTGTACGCCTCAGCTTCCCATGGTCTGACCTATGGTCCAGCCTCATTGCTCTCCTGAAGTATCTCTTAGCAAATGAAGCCAACATGGCTAAAAGATTGAACATCTTCAGTGTCTGCTTGCAAGTCATCAATGTCTTCAACCTGTTCATCACATATGGTGACACTTTTCTGTCTGATCCAGCCAGCTATGACTGCCTCTACTATGAAATCATCAGGATGCATGACGTCTTTGAAGGTCTCTATTCCATGGCTTTACGATATTCATCTATTGAGAACAATGAGTTCAAGGATTATGCATTGAAGCTTACTCATGCTTTGGTGAACATCCGTGCCATAATCAACCATTTCAGCCCCAAAATTGAACAGTACATGGCAGCAAATGGAGTATCTCCCCTTACAGAAGAGCAGGTGAGGTTTCATGTGAGATAATTTTCAGGAGTAGATTTTCATTTGTTAATGATGCACGATTTTTTGTATGCCTTCTTGTAGGTGCTAGAAGTAGTGAGACTGAACTACCAAAGCCTAACACTGAAATTGCAAGAGTCTCTAGATCAATATGAGAGGTATTCTGAAAAGCCTCATCAATCCTTCTTCACTCAGATGGTGAGCTTTCTGTATTGGAAGCTTCAGATGTTTTTTCCTCCATTCTAATAAGACTAAGCATGAGTCAGCATTATTAGTTCATCTCATTCTTGTTCCACAGGTGAGGAGTAGTGTTGTTGATCTGCGTAAGCACCTGGATCTTGAAGTTGGTGACCAGCAACATCTGTTGGAAGAATTTGGATGCCTCAAATGACTTCCAGAAATGATCAGCACAAATGGCTTCAATATTGACACTTGGAAACTGGTCATTCCTCCTATATGTGATATTCCTGTGGTTTCCAGTAAAGATATATCTTAGTGTCTCTTTTGCTAAAATGAGTGACATTCACTTTTGTATGACTCTGAGTACAAATAGAGTTGCACACTTAGTCACACGTTGCAATAGTATTTGGTATAACAATGAAGTATTTACTTAAAATACCATTTGTTCCATACCTGTGAAGAAACTTATCTTTAGAATATCTGCATAGGTTTTTAACCCTTGCTTGGGGATTTTTTGTTACTGGACACTAAAGCTCTTGATTTCCTTGAGAAATGTCAGTGATTGTTAGTATGTTGTTAACATTGAACTTTGTTTTAACTTAGTTGGCCATTCCTTCAGTGTGTAGTAGCCCACATATCAGGTGGCACAAAAAAGTGTCCTGTTTGATGCTTTATAAAACCCACTGTGGATGTTCTAGGTTCGTGATGTTTTTGTATCACATTAGAAACACTGCAAAATTTGTTTTCTGAAAGTTTCCTTTTTCACAAATGGCCTCTTTAGCATCACTTCTCTGCCATCATCAGGGACTTCAGTGGGTATGGTTTTGATGCTGACATGTTCATAACACTCATGTTCGATGGAATTACCACGTACTCCTAGTATGAAAGTATACAACTTTCTCACTTCTTACCCTACCCTCACTTAACACACTTCTCTGTGCCTACATAAAACCTCGGCAGTGAAAATTTGCCAGAAACTTAGATCGTCATGAAAACAACATAATTATATTTTTCAATCTGCCCATAAATCATATAATGAAAAGAATAAATAAATATTTTTACCATATTGCATTCGATCTTACAGTGTAAGTTCCACACTCTTAAAGCAAGCCTTAGTTTTTATGGGCCGACCGACACCAGCGGAACTAACGTTACTTTCGGTATTGCATATAACATGAACTGGTAATCGGTAGATGTCCCTAGAGTAAAAAAAATATATATATATTAGGAGCGCCAATGTCCTTATGGGGGTGTGTGAACTCGTCGCGTTTGGAGATACTAGGGGAGCACGGGTGCCATCTAGTGGAGATTTATCCTACTGCACTTGGATCACCCCACGAAGTATGCAAGGCGAGAATCGTCATTACGTTATGGGAGGAGAGCTTGTGGTCTGTCAGCCATGCCTAGTAGGGGAGCCGACATTTTAATTTCATACAATATCCTGCAGGAGGTGATCCGCCAGCCGATCTGGTATTCCAGTTACCAGGAATCCGCCACTGTTGTGTTTGGACCGTTTCCGGCCCTTGTTGAAACTTGTGAGGTTTAATGTGCATAACCGTGAAGTTCCACCGATTCAAGTTTTCAAACATGGGCATCATCTGTTGTCCTTCAGGGTAACAGTCATGGGCAGTAGGTACTTATCCTTCAAGCGTGTGGAAAAATAAACTTAAGTGGGTCCTTTTGTCAGCGCGGATGAGCGAAGTTGTGTTCAAGTCAAACTAAGCTTCAGTTTCAACATTTTATTAGACATGAAGAAGTAATCAACCTGAAATAATCATGCTGTTCCTCACGTGCGTTGATATTTGAACCATTATCACTCACTGCATTCCCAGTAACAAACAAGTATTTTTCACCAGCGATCCTACCTCAGACCACAAATGAATATGAAATATGTTGGATGAATTGCTTTATGAACGCCAGAAATGCATTCAGCTGCCCATCTAACCGTTTTCTGTTAACAGATAGGTATTGCTCCGCTATGAAGTGAATTAAACTACCTAAATTCGAGCTGATGCAGCGATCAGGTACAGATGGACCTTGCTGGAAGACCACCCTACATTCTCTGGTGGCAGATTTCTATGCGATTGGGATAGCTTTCTTCGGTTCTCGCCCGAATGAGCTCTGCACAGATGCCAGATGATCACAGGTCAGGCATACAATCAATGTTCCTATAGGATTTCACTTCGTGAGTCACTGCATTCACTACACGTGCCCGATTCTGCCACACATTCAGTCCACATTGACACAACAGTCGCACTCATCATTCCTGAAAATTCCAATTTGATTTTTTTTGCGAGCCGACGAATGGGGAAAGGGAGCACCATTTTTCTAGGCTCTTTGATCGGGAGGAACAGGCGTTTTAATCGGCAAGGAAACGAAATTCTGTGTTACAACGTACAGTACCTAAACAAAGGAGATATTGGAGAAGACTGCCTTTGGGAAACCCCCAGGCAGGGTGGGCCATAAATATTCATATCACATGTAATCTTCCTATTTCTGCATGTCCAAGTAAAGCAAAGGAAAAATGGTGAGGTACCCACGTGTCAGCGTCTCATTGGTGACCATTCTTAGGTTTTTCAACAGGATTCCAAGTCACATGACTTGACGCTCAAAAACTGTCTAGCAGACCATGTAGCAGATATTATAAAGAAACATGAATGGCTCCCTTAAAACTTTGACTGTAATCCAATGGACTGGTGTATGTGGAGTCTGCTGGAAGTAAGTGTCCAGAAACGAAATTCAGCGACCTGAATCAATTAAGGCTGGTGCTGAAAGAGAAATGGAACCATGTCCGTCCTGTGTAAGAGACATAGAGACTCGAAAATTGCAGGCTGCTGTTAAGAAGAAGGGGGACACACCGAAACTATTTAGTGAGTATTTACCATGAGTCCCTGTGACTTGTTGAAAATCAGTTGATTCTATGAGATATTACAGGAATACAAGACTGATTTGGTGCGAATATTTATGGCCCACTCCGTGCTCTTTCTGCGTCGAGTGATCTAAGTTGCAAAAGCAGAAAAGCCTGGAAGAGTTGAGGTTCTATTCTATGCACTATGTCAGCTTCATTTGCCCCCTCATCACTTCTCTCGAGTCCACGTCGCGTTAACTCCATTCCCGAGAGAGCAAATATCTCGTCACACTTTCGTGTCGCTGATCCGTCCGTTGAATAGAGTACCCTTGACCGGCTCGGGCTCGATTTCGTACTGCTCGGGGGATTCCCAGAAGGCTCCATCTTCGTACCAATCTTCGGGCTCCAGGCTACCCAGGAAGCGCATGATGAACCCGATGATGATCCCAGACACGAGGGCAATGATCATGGTCACAGCCAGGGCTATAATCTGGTAGACGGCTTGCTCCCGAAAGCTCCGCAGCACCCCAAAGTCGATGTCGAAAAAGTCTCCACCATCTGACGGTTCTCTGTAAGAGCATAAAGGAATGAGAGTTATACCTATAAGTATGTATGTCGTAAGCAGTCAACAGCCTGATTTATGATCTGCGAGGGTGTCTGTATTCAGGTTTCCTATACTATGCCTCTATGGATGTTGCTTCATCGCTTCCCGGAAAGAAGGGGACTATTCCATGTCACAGGATAGTAGGAGTTGATATCTTTTTTATTATTCTGCATGGGAATTCGTGTTCACATCGGGGTCAGAGTCCCCCCTTCTGAACCAGATCCTCAGTACCTGAGATCCAGTACCATATCCGGTCCCCCCGGTCCCCACTGCATCTGTTCAATTACTCCCGCTGTGCTACCGGAGCGAACGCATGCAATGGTTCGCTATCGCCCGCCGCTCACTCGGAGTAAAGTGCATTCTTGAAGCGGAACAGAAGACCGCTCTACCTTCGATGTTAAATTGACGCCCACGATCTATGAAGCTGTTTAGGAAATCCGCTCCAGAGCAGCAGCATTTGCTGCTACATGAGCGAAGCGCCTCCCTATCGCCTGAGGAAACAGGCTGAACGAGCAGCAAACTCGCCGACTGCTATTTCCGCCAACTCGAGACATTATCGCAACCGCTCGAGTTGTCCCTCTCTGGGAATAGACTTCGTCCACATTTTCACGCCGTTCAGGAGAGAACCGACACCAGGAACTTCACTCGCCTCCATCTCCTCCTAAAGTCTCTTTCTATTAATTCGTTGACCAGGTTGAGGTGAGGACAGAATGTTGCTGGAATTAATCACTGCACCGAGTTCCTAATTGAACGGCTGAAAGGAAAAGTGGTCTATCTTAAAAAAAAATATTCAGAACTGGATTGAAGAGAACTGAAGACAGAGGTGAGAGTTCTTACAAATGCCCAGGTCCTCCCAGGTGCCGAAAAGCGAATCAGACAGGTGCCTCTCAAGAGGAACACTCAAGAAACACAAGAGAGAAAGAGGAACACTTCACTTTTCCTTCCAGCTAAGTCTCCACTAACATCTGGTTTGCAAAACTGAACTGCCGGATAAGGAACGCATCGCTCCAAGGAGAATGCCCGGAAGTGCCCCCTCCATCGCGTCGAAAGACTTCATAATTTTCTCTGTATCGCCTCTTCCTTGAAACCTTCTTCGAATTTTCTTCACAGCGTTAGGAGCTCCTGTTCATTGTCATTAATGCACTCCTAAGTATTTTTTTTTTTTTGGGGGGGGGGGGGGGATTGGTAGGACCCCCC